AGAATTTTTTGTTTTGTTTATTGAGGTTCGGTATGAGTTTGAAGAAAATTTTGTGGCTCTAACGTGCTTTTTATTATGACCTGGGATCTTAGTAGCTTTCTTTCTTTCATTATTACTAGTCGTTGTAGTATTGTATCCATTAGTTTAGATAGTAACGATACGGTGAGTTTCGAATAGTTAAATTTGTTATATTCAGACGAAATTATAAATATTTTCATTGTGTGAGTTAGGACGAATGAAACTCGACAAGTGATGTCAGTCGCTTATAAAGTTGCATTCTTTCCAACTCTTTGTGGAACTTTGAAGCAGCCACCTCCACGTAGTGAGTTCTGGGTTGTCGTTTGTCTGCAAATAACGAACGGCGAGCGAAGAGCTGCTTGTTTCTTTCAATTGATAATAAGAAATGAAAACATGACAATAAAAACAGAAATTACAAAAGTAAGTAAAGTTAGGAGAATTAAGTATCTAACTTTGGTATAAATCGCTTTAAATTTTATCTAAGTGGTGTTAATTCCTTTGTTTTAATCGTGATCGTGAATTTCAATTTATCCTAGTTCTGAATTATTAGAATATATATCTAAAATAGAATGTTTGTTAGTTTTATATTAAGTGATGTATAAGGAATATAAAGCAACCGTTCGTTTTTATATATACAGTAAGACCTCGTTTAGCGCTTAGGATGCGTTCCTAGACGACAAAGCGCTAAATGAAACAGCGTTTCATTTAGCGTTAGCGTTTAATTAACGATTTCGGTTATCCTTACCGAATTTTCACTAAGGAAATCTATAACAAGTTTCTGAGATCTTCGTTTTAAGAATCATCCTTAAATAACGTCCTTTGTAAATTAACTGCCTACATGAGCTCAAATACGTTAAAACTGAACGCAAATAAAACAAAATATCTCTGCTTTGTAAATAAAAATAAAATTGTTGATATGGATCAACTTCAAATTGAAATAAATGAAAAGAAGATAAATAGAATTAACTGCATAAAATATCTCGGTGTTTTGATAGACGACAAACTCAGATTTTATAGACACATCGAAAATTTAACTAAGACTGTTGCTAAGTTTACTGGCATAATTAGGAAAATACAGGACTTTCTGAATATAATACGATAATACGACTATATCACACCTGTATAGAACCGAAAATTCAATATGGCATAATTATAAGGGAATTACATCCGATTATATCGCAAATCGATTACAAATACAACAAAATCATCTAATGAGAGCCATTTTTAAATTAAAGTACTATGAATCAATCTCCTATTGTTATCAAAAAGGAAAAAATTGACAACATAAAAACATTATATTCAAAACAAATTATACTTTTCTCTTTTAAATTTATAAAGCTTAAAACGTCATCTTTTCAATATTATAGAAAATCATCGCAGGAAGGGAAACTACTGTAATCGTCAAAATTATAACTTCTTAAAACAGGGCCGTGCGGTAGATTTTCTCAGTATGATGCGAGTCTTCGAAATGCCGCTTATGCCACATCTTAAATGATGCTTATGACGCCTCATTACGGTGCCGCCTGATGCGGCCGCATCTCTGCATCATAGCACGGCCCTGCTTACAAGCTGTTTACAGAACGAATATTTCGTAACATCTGGTATCTGGATAGGAGAAAGTTAGAGGTTAGGATGTTCTCTATCCAATCATATAATGGGTGATATCAACTTGAAACACTAAATGGCAGAGTATGGATGGGGTAAACTTTTTTGACGTGTACATTTGTACGAGATACACACATTTATTTCTGGACCTTCTGAATACTTTCCAATTTCTAGTACAGAGTTTGTTTATGATTCTTCTCATTTTTAGAAAATACTGTACCTCAAATAAAAAATCACCAAAGATATCTCTCGCATTTAAAATCATCAAACATATCTCTCAAAGCATGTAACAAATTTATCTACTTTTTAATTTTAAATACAATAAAATAATCATCGTATTATTTTTCACCAAAATTAACAACCACCTAAAAATTGATTAAATTACACAATAATAATAATAATAATAATAATTATAACAAAATAATTTGAAATGCATCCTTTTACGATGGCGACACCCAACGGTAGTAAACACAACTAAGGTTAGGAATAATCTTGAAATAAGAATATGAGATTTGGTAAGATTTGTTAATAATTTAATTTACCGAAATAGAAACGAAGGACGTATGATTAATTATTCTGACGAGGGAAATATTGCGGGATAATAATAATAATANTACGAGATACACACATTTATTTCTGGACCTTCTGAATACTTTCCAATTTCTAGTACAGAGTTTGTTTATGATTCTTCTCATTTTTAGAAAATACTGTACCTCAAATAAAAAATCACCAAAGATATCTCTCGCATTTAAAATCATCAAACATATCTCTCAAAGCATGTAACAAATTTATCTACTTTTTAATTTTAAATACAGTAAAATAATCATCGTATTATTTTTCACATAAATTAACAACCACCTAAAAATTGATTAAATTACACAATAATAATAATAATAATAATAATAATTATAACAAAATAATTTGAAATGCATCCTTTTACGATGGCGACACCCAACGGTAGTAAACACAACTAAGGTTAGGAATAATCTTGAAATAAGAATATGAGATTTGGTAAGATTTGTTAATAATTTAATTTACCGAAATAGAAACGAAGGACGTATGATTAATTATTCTGACGAGGGAAATATTGCGGGATAATAATAATAATATAAAATGGTATAAATTACATTAAAATGAGGTTTTTTTTTGCTACAACTTAAGGCCTAAGAAATCAATCAAAACTAATGACAGTTAAATGCATTCATAAATTATTTGGAAATATTCTTATAAACACATACAATTTGCTACATGTTAGAGTTTATTACAATATTATGGTATATAATTAATTATTAAATAATAATTTGGTAAATTTATATTTTAATTACATTCATTTGTTAAACAGAAATTTAATAATGTTTACTTTATTATGAATTTAAAATGTAGTTTATGTGGAATTCTGAAGCTATAATACTCATTCAATGTGAAATTGTAATGTAATGTGTTAAAATATTCTTGCTTATAATACAGATATAATTGTGGTATATATCTATAATGCTTAATAACAGAATAATACACCAAAAATGAATTAAATTTGGTAATTAATACAGCTCATTTGAAAAAAATTTTCATTCGTTTGACTTTCTGTTGGATAATCCGTAATTGTATTAAGTATTTATTATTATATTTTGAATTATTGATAAAATTATAAAATAGACATTGGCGCTACATTCTGCAGTGTCAATAGTAGTAACTGAGCAGACGTGTTTTGGTTGGTGGCTGTTACATAGTTACGTCTGCCAAATAATGAGTGACGTATGCATTGGAACAAAAAGCAGCAGTCGTTGGTTGTTTTCGTGTAGTGTAAATGAAAGACACTACTAAATGTGATGCCAAAATACCGAATGTGTTCAAAAATGGCATTACTGTAAAGGGCATTTGGCAGAAAAGTACTCAACAGCTCTGGAACTGTCGAGTCTGCTGAATGCAGCCAATCCAAACTGTTGAGTCTTGCCCTTTTTTCACACTAGATCTCTTCCAATACACGCCAAGACGTGATGTTTTAAAGGTTGAGTATTAGAGAGTATTTTACATGAGTTTCTGGTATGAAAAAGGAAGAAAAGATGTTTAAAATTCCATGACACTAAGTGAATTTTAAAAGTAATATGTTTGTATTAATGATTTATTATTGTATAATTTTCATTAAAAGTTGCTTGCCAATGTTACTGATGACACAATGACTGACTCTAATAACTAAATGATAAATATTTTAATGTTAAGCAGATGTTTTATAATGCATAAATTATATTGAAAATATTAAAATATATTATTGAGAGAAAAATTAATACTTGATTATTTATTATTATTTCAAATAAGAAAGTATAGTTAAAAATTAAGTAAGAAATAAAGACAACATTAATATAAAAATAACAAAAATTTTAAGAACTTCTAAAACTCCATATTTGAAAAAGTTGTAATAATATCAATATTTGGTTATCAGTTTTTGGATTTGTTATCAAAATACACATTGTCATGTGGCTAATCAATACTTATTATAACATTTATTTCTACATAAGTTTGCGTGTAAATAAATTGATTGTATAATAAAATTTCTCAGTTTCATTAGATTATTTTTTATTGTTTTGGTAGTAAAATAGAATTTAAAGTTTGAGTGAATTTAATATACTGATGATATTGATATATTGATGATATTGTAGATTGCAATGAAATGCTTGTTTTTAATAAATTAGACACTTTAACAAATACAACTCGATCCAGTTAATTGGGCGGCAATTTTCAAAAATTATGGATTGTGACAATGCCAGAATAAATAATTGCTCATATGTTGTTAATACTAATTTGAATTGAGTTGTTTACATGTTATATACAGGTGCTCCCCTACTTACAAATGGGTTAGGTTCCTTAGGTTTTGTTGTAAGTTGAAAACTAACTTAGAAAGTACTGTACAGTACATCTGTACACAGAATAACCACATATTATTAGTGTTTTATCACTCATTGTACTTAATAAATACATTAAGCTCATTTATCTACTCACTACTGCTTAGTAGCAGGTATTTCAAATGTAGTTTTTTCACCTAATTCACTTAGTTTTTACACACTAGCCTGCACATGCGTCAAGAGATGACAAATCTTGAATAGACTACCCTTCCTCACCCACCCTACAGCCTGGATCTTGCACCTTCTGACTTCCATTTGTTTGGCCACCTGAAGGATGCTATCCGAGGAAAGTGATATGACAACAATGAGCAAATCATAGGCAACGTCAGGAAATGGCTGAGAGAGAGAGACCTCAATGTCAAGTTTAGTTTCTACAGTAATAGAATCACACTTGTTACATTTATCTCCACCGTTAGTTTTGCTATTATGTTTTGGACATATTTTTGAAGCACTAATTTAAAAAATTTATAAATATAAATAAGAGCAAAAACTATTACTCCAATGTTACCAACTTCAACACCACCTCATGAGCAGAAGAATTTATGTGAAAATGAAGATACACAATAGAAATAAGTTCACATTAATTATTTATTAACCACTCAGCAGTAACCGACAGATATATCTGTCAAGGGCGATCGTGTGGCAGTGGTGAAGGACAGATATCGCCAAAAACTACTGCGAAAAAAAATTCACATAAAAAGGAATTATGTAACAATAAAAAAGACTTTTCTTTACTAGTCATAACTGTTTACAAAATCTTTTTCCAAAACGGTAATGAGAAAAAAACACATGGAAAAAAATTTTAAAAATTTCCCACATTTATTCTCCACTATATAGAGATAGCAACATACCTTACTAACCCACTGCTGAAAGGTTAAGAATTTATTATTTATTACTGGCTAAAGACTGACTACAACACTACCCCACAACTGGCAAGAGCAGAATCCAAGCAAAATTTAAATTTTAGATGTAAGGTCAAATTGTCTGTAAGTTGAATGTTTTTAAGTAGAGGAGCTCCTGTATATGCCATGCTAGGGTAAAAGCACAAGTTAGCCATGAACCATGGAGGGACTTTGAAACTAAAGTTAACTTCATTCTGTGCTTTGAGTGTCTTGTATGGTTATATCTAAATTAATTAATTACTTTGGAAGTAAAAATCTGACTGAGGTCTGGGTAGTGTAACTAGCAGTATATCTTCATGGTAAACAGGAGTTGTGGATTTGAGTCCTGCTCTGGGCTGTTCTGTTCTGTTCTTCAGAATATTTTAAATGTAAATAAAAAATTAATTTATTTCTAATTACAGGTATCCCTCATACAACACGGTACTTCTACAACATGGTTTGAAAATTGGAGATATTTCCTGTACAACATTACTTCCAGTTTCACTGTAAAATGGTTTTGAAAATCTTCCATACAAAATTTTACAATTTTTAATCATAAACTTTGTTATTCAATATTTTTTTATTCAAATAAGTGCATGTGTTTTCTCAAATTTGCTCATGGATATTAGAATATTGAAATTTTCAAATTATATTGTGCTTTTCGTCAGGTTTACTATAATGAAAATGTATAGTACAAGGAAGAGAAAATTGCACTAACTTTCCTATCAACCAGGTGTCATTGTCATTGCTTTCAGACTTTAAACCCTTAAGACTGTCAGTATGTTTTCTTTTTATAGATTAATCTTTGTATTTAATAAAGTTTAAACATTTTTAAGTAAGTGTTATTAAACTTTTTTTAACTGTAGGTATTACTTACCTATGGAATGATTACTTCATTCGTAAAAGTGATGAATTGATATAGCGGTATCTCAGTAGTCAAATAGTTCAATATTTGAACACACATTCTAGAAAAAAGTTGCTCACTTAGCTCACTAGAACAAGTTTAGATTAATAACATATTTTTATTTTGTCATCCATAAAAAATTTTTTATGATAAAAATAAAAAAAGTGAAAATGTTAGTGATACTTCTGATCAAGATCAACAAAAAAGCTGAGGTGACGAGGATATTTTGTAAAAAGAAAACATCCTTGTTTAACTAAAATTAATATTAATATGTAACATAGAAGTTTTAATTGTGATTGTTAATTAATTATTGATTGAAAATAAATTATTGATTGCTTTAATAAACATGTTTCTCATAGTAATGAAAAGTATTCTTTTGCTAACTTCTGGAATATAACTCAGTTTTGCATTAGTCCTGTGTTTCATATAGCATGGATTTGCATATGGCACTTTTTGGGAGTGTAACTACTATATTATATGAGGGATACCTGTATTAAATTTATCATCAGATGGCAACCTAACTCCCTACTTCTAGTAAATTGTTTTATATCTTAATATTAAATTAACTTTACTTTGGTCAATAAATAATCTGGCAGATTGTTTGGCAAATTAGACAATTTTTTTACTATTTCTTATCATTTTTGTGTATTAAATTTCTTATTAAAAATCTTATCATTTACATTTATTAAATTAAATTTCTTTGCCTTAACATTTTTTTTTACTAATATACCAGAATTAAAATTATTATTTTCACATCATTTAAGATATTTATTGTTTTATTCTTTTTGTGCAAAATGTGATCTGTATCTAAAATTATCCTGATTGTTTTGAATAAGTGATGCTCTGTTGTATTTCTTTTTGATTGATCATTTTGATGCAATATTATATACCCGGGGTGGCCAAGCTCCTTGATAGTCCGAGCCATTTTTCAAAATTTGAAATTTTTTGCGCGCTGCAGTTAAACACGTATTAAAAAGGTATGCAAAAAATTCCAGATTACAAATTATATTTGTAGCAAGAGTGATACAAATTGTTTCCTCCAGAGCACAATGTCAACTGTCCGTTGCAATGACAGTTTACAAATTCAAAATCGGTCTGGAGTCGGTCGATAAAGGACGATTACGCCACTGTTTATGTTCGTTCACGCAGTTTTCGATGAGTCATATCATTCTTAACTTGGACGGAAATGAAATTTGTTACAACGTTGCACTTAGTCTTTCATATTTGTTGTTAGTAATTTAAAAGACATTTTGAAACACATACGGAAC